CAATATTACTCTATAAAGTGTGCTGAGCAATGACTCTGTTGAGAAACCATTGTGAGGGCAGCGCAATGTATATCCCTGAAATGTTTCTCATGCTGAACAGAATGGTTCATCTGGTGATTGTGTGAAACCTGATATATTCTGCGTTAGTGTAGCTGTCCTGGTACAAGAGTAAAACTTTGCAGGAAGCAATCTTTTACAATCATCCCAAGAACATATTGAGCCACAAGGCAAATATCTCTCCCACAAATGTGCACAATCATCAAGAGAGAATGAAAATAACATCAGTTTGAAGCCATCTTTTGTGATACCACTGATCCTTTGAAAACTGCAAAGACTCTCAAAGCTGTCCAAGTGATCAAGTGGATCTTCTACAGGTATCCCATTAAAGCGGTTTGCTTGAACCATTGCAATCAAACTACTCTTGATCTCAAAATGATGCTCTTCAGATGGTGGAGTAAGTATTCCTTTGCGTCTGGTATGAAGGTAAGGAGCATCATGAGAACCAATGTGTTGTGCTCTCCTAGAAATCTGAGGCACTGGCCTGTGTAACCTCTGAACCAGAGCTTCATCTTCTCTGAACTGAGCTTGATAAGTAAACCTGTGATGGTGTGGATCAGCCATTGTACCTAAGAAAACAGAGCAAGAAAGGTAAAGTGATTAGTAAAGTAAAAAGTGGTTAAGTCTAAGCAAGAACCTAAACTTAATTATCTAAGCAATCCTAGAATGGCAATGGCGCCAAATTGAAGAAAGACTTTTGCAAGTTTTAACTCAATCCCTCTCTAATCAGATATAGTATAGAAGAGGTTTTATCAATCCATTTAGGAGCTAAAATAAAAGAGATGCAAGGTACTAAATAAGCTTAACCAATATGATAAAGATGGATTATCTAACAACCTAAATGATCAAAGATGAAATTCACAAGTGAAATGCAATCCTAGCAAGCCTAAAGCAAGTAATGCAATGCAAAGAAACCAAATACAACATAAACTAACAAGGCAATGATCTAAATGCAGCAGGACTAAGGTAAGTAAAGCAATAGAGTGCAAAAACCAAAATGGAAGCTAAATACAATAACTTGAAATGCAAGGCAAGAAATGCACCAAAAGAAAAGCCACTAAAAACAGAGAAAAACATAGTACAAAATGATCAAAATGCAAAGAACAATAAGGCGCAGGTTCAAGGCTAGAGCAATGATGACTTGGAGATTACTTAGTATCAAACCTAGTAGTCAAGACTAATAACAAACTAAGAATATGATCAAGCCACTAATTCAATCTATCTGCAAACAGGGCAAAGATGTATAAGTTAAGCACATGTTCCACCCGCTTGTGATGGCGTATTTGTGCAAAACCAGCATGAAAACACAAGAATCTTAAAAACCAAACAAACAACCTAAACGCAATATAATCATCTAGCCGATTGTTCCTAGCAATGTTCTTTCAGGCATTTAAACAAACACTTTCGATGCAGCAAACACTTAAGATCAGTTTCACCCTAAAAATGTTATTAAGCACTAAGAACAACTAAGATAAGTGATTGAAGCAAGAATTAAACCAAAACTCTCTAAGTTATCAACCCATCATCCCCAAATCTGCTATAACCTCAAACCATATAAAACTACTCACAGCCCATCATGAAATCAACAGAAACATACAGAGATGACAAATCAAACATGATCAAATAAGAACTAGAAGAAAAATGACAAAAGAAATTCAAAACTTTATTAAAAAGATGATCTTGATCAAAATCTCATAAAAATCTCTTTGTGGTTTCCCACAAGGTCGAAAATAGGATAAGGAAGAAGATAAGATAACAAAAAGGTCAGTCAAAATCTTAAATAATTGAAAGGATAAGGTTTGGTCAAAAGCAGAAAAAGTTGGTCAACAGCGCGGATAAAACATAACGGGCAGTACGGAAGATCTTTTGCTCGATGTGCTTGGCAGATGCAGTCTGTCCCTGTTGCTTCAGGTAGCTTTTGTCGGTCAGCATGCACCGGGCAGGTTTGCCTGGGTTTTGCTCGTTGTGCTTGCCCGGTACAACAGCCTGGTGAACACTGCATAGCTGGAATCGCTCTATCTCTTGAATCCCAGATCCAAATGACATGATTCGACTATCATTGGAAACTTATTCCGATCCTCTACAACTTGCTTGAAGAACGTGGAGCCTGAATCTGAGTGGAGAGGCTTCGACCGGACCGATCTATAACTCGCATCCTGTTGAATCAAGCAAAGACCTTGACCTCAGTGTAGCTTCTTAACAGCTTGGCTTCATTCTTCTTGCATATTTCTTTGACTCCAGATGATCCTCCATCCTCCAATAAGTCATCTTAGCCCCCAAAATACCTGAAATACACCTTAAACATGCAAATGTAGGCATTCCTAATCTATATGCATGCGTGGCTACTTCTATATGTAAATGTGACTAAAATGATAAGAAATAATGCAAGAACAAGAGAAAACATGTATAAAATGCATCCTAAAACACTACAATATAGCAAGCTATCACTCTCCTTTTGCTTTTATACATATCTTTGAAGTACTTCTCAACAAGGTTCCCAGTATCCCGATCGCTATGGTGACTGAAGAAGGACTTTTGCAAGTCTTAACTCAATCCCTCTGTAACCAGATGTAGTATAGAAGAGGTCTTATCAATCCATCCAGGAGCTAGAATAAAAGAGATGCAAGGTACTAACTAAGCTTAACCATGTATGATGAAGAAGGATGATTCTAACAACCTAAGTGATTAAAGAAGAAATGCACAACCAAAAGGGAAATCTAGCAAGACTAAAGCAAGTAATTCAATGCAAAGAAACTACATGCAACAGAAACTAACAAGGCAAGGATCTAAATGCAACTAGACTAAGGTAAACAAAGCAATGGAAATGCAAGAACCAAAATGAATGCTAAATGCAATAACTTGAAATACAAGGCAAGGAATAGAGAAAGAACAATGCAAATCAAAACAGAGGAAAAACAGAACACAAAATGATTAAATGCAAAGAACAATGAGGCACATGTTCAAGACTAGAGCAATGATGACATTGGGGATTACTTAGTATCAAACCGAGGGCAGTCAAGACCAATTAACAAGCAAAGAACATGATCAAGCCACTAAATCAATCAATATACAAACAGAACAGAGATGTCTAAGTTAAGAACATGTCAGACCCACTTGTGACGGCGTATTTATGCAAAACCAGCATGAAAACACAAGACTCTTATAGACAAAACATGCTACCTAAACCCTAATATAATCATCTAGGAGAATGTTCCTAACAAAGTTCTTTCAAGTATTTAAACAAACACTTGTGATGCAGCAAACACCTAAGATCAGTTTCACCCTAGAAGAGTTACTATGCACTAAGAACAACTAAGCTAAGTGATTTAAGCATGAATCAAACCAGAACTCCCTTAGTTATCAACCAATCATCCCCAAATCTGCTCTAACCTAAAACCATATAAAACTACTAACAACACATCATGAAATCAACAGAAATAAGCACAAATGACAGATCAAACATGATTAAACAAGAACTAGAAGAAAATAAGAAAGGAAGTGCAAAACTTAATTAAAAGAGTGTTCTTTATTAAAATCTCATCAAATCCCCTTTTGGGTTTCCTCTTAGGTCGAAAATAAGATAAAGAAGAAGATAAGTGCTAAAAAAGATAAGGTTTAGCTTAAATAAGCCAAAAAAGATAAGGTTTGACAAAAAGTAGAAAAAGCTTGGTCAACTCTCGGTGTTTATGCATCGGGTACATTGGTGGGCGTTCTGCTCGATGCTAGACCTTGATATGCCATGTCTCTTCGTATCGAGCAGGTGGTCGAGTGTTCTGCTCGATGCTGGACCTCGGTGCAACCTCGGAGTCCTTAGTCAAATTCTTCTTCATCGTTCCACGCTCCACATCGAGCAAGCTCCATGGGTGTTTTGATCGATGCTGGACCTTGATATAGACACAGAGTTTGCAAAACTCCTTCTCTGGCATCTTCTTATAACATGAGCTACTTTCATCTCCTCCCCAACTTCAAAAATCTCCAAAAACACCTGAAAATCACCACATGCATGCACATGTATACGTTCATAACTTATATGCATGTAATATTGAATCTAAAGTCAAATGAGACTTAAATGCCAAACTATAATGCAAAAGCAGGGGAAAAGATGCATGAAATGCAGCCTAAAATACTCTTATATAATAAGCTATCAGTGACTTATACCATCAGAGTCTTTGATCGTTAGAACTCGGTTATTTAAATACCATGATTTAGTGACGGCATGGTAGAATTTAGTTTTTTTATATACATCTTCAGCCATGAGTTTGTAATGTTTTTAATAAATCATAATTTATTGAATTATGAATTGAGTGAATATTAAATTTTATACATTAACTTTGTATATGCAAAATTTTATTCTAACTCACATTAGGTTATTTATAGAAATTACTTTATAATAAACTTTAAATCCATAATATCATCATTTCATCCAAAATAAGAATCATTTATTATCACCACTTACTAATACAGTCCATCATGATATAATTAAAAACTTATTACTAAGTTAATTAACATGATTGATTGCTACACAATATGATAAATACTATTAATTATTAATTAAGCAATTACAAAATTCATTTAAATTAAAAATATATTGTTCCTAATTAATCACAATTGATTGAATATTGATAGGAAATATGCATCAATACTTACCTCCATATATTGTTTACTCGATTACGTATAAAATAATATGACATCTTTATATATGGTGTGTATACTTAAAGGATCAAATAATAGTTTTTAAAATTGTTGAATCACATATTTACCATTAGTCGTAAGCCCTAATTGTAAACTACTATATAATAAGTTTCGTCACATATCAATTTATTCATCATTTCTCCTCAACATTTTATTTTTTAAGTTTTCAAATATTTACGGCTTATGGCATCTTTTACCTTAGTTTCTGATCTGAAACATTTCAAATATATGTGAAAAATTAAAGTGAACAGCATGTATCTCTGAAAAAAAACATTCTGCTGCTGCTGGTCTCACCATTGAAATGGTCTTAATCGATTCAAATGTTAGTGTGCTATCATTTTCATTTTATGCTTCAAGATGTGATTATATTACTTAGTTTTGATTCTATTTTTTTCATTTTATCTTTTTGACAGGATCACAAAATCCATGCTACAGTGAAAAAGGAGAATGTTAATCAATTTGACCCATTCTTCCCACAAGGTGGTTCGAGTATACTCACCAACTTCAATGTGAATCACTCATTGGGATCACAGCGAACAACCAGTGGCCCTTTACAACATTACTTTCTGTTTAACCACCTGTGTATGTAATTGTGATCAACTGTCCAATGAATTGAATGGTTTCAAGCAGATAATTACCAGAAAATTCTTGATGGTTCCTTGGATCAGAACTACTTGATTGGTAGGTGCTATTATTTAACTTCATTCAATAATTAAAAGGAGATATTATTTTATATTTTTACGTTATTTATCTTATCTTAGATATATGTTATTGAACCAATTGTTGAAGTCAGTCATGTAGAAGTTGTTTCTACAAATGGGAAAGATACACCCAAGTTAACTTTGAAAGTTTGAAATACAAAATAGTTTAAATCTAACATATAGTCTAAATGTATTTTAAATCTTTAATTATCCATCCTTCTACTAAATAAATTAACTCTTACTACTCTTACTTTTCAGTGATGATCATTGTCCTATTGGGTTATGGGGTTGATTTCCAACGATAATTAATGACACCATTCAGGCTCGAGGTCAATAATCATTGGTCATTGTACTGAGGTTTGCAAAGATAAAATTTTGGAAAGGTTCAAAAATTTCTATAAACAAATTTGAATTATATCCAATCATACTGTAATTAATCATTGTTGAACACCGAATGTTATATATCTAATTTTGAAAAATCATCATCTTCTATTCAAGACATGGTATATGTTTTTGTAACACATAGAAAAAATAATGAAAAATTAAGATAGCAAAATAAATTTAATATTTCAGAAATTATAGTGTAAAGAAATAATTTAATTTAAAAGAAGAATTTACTAATTTAAAAATATACCACCCATCATATGAACTTGACTTAGTATTAATTAAGTAAAAGATCAAACGAAGATATGATACATGACCCTAGTTTTTTAAAATATTCTAGTTTCCTAACTCAAATAAGGTAAATAGTTTTGTTAATTATTTTATTTGACTTAGGAATCTAGAGCATTTTAAGAAATTAGGTTCATGTATCATATCTTCGTTTGATCTTTTACTTAATCTATACTAAGTCAAGTTTATGTGATGTGTGGTATATTTGAAAATTCTTCTTTTAGATTACTTTTATTTATATAATTAGAATTTTTTTTTCTTTGTTTTCTTTTATGAACAGATTGTTATTATCTTTGCATTAACAAAATTTTAGGATTGATCGATTTTTTTTATTATTATTGTGTTATTGATTAATTTAATCTCATGTATTAGGTAAATATGTAAAAACTAGGTTGGTACACAAATTTATGTATATATTATATGTAATTATAAAATTTGTTTTTAAATATTTATATATGAATGTAATTACATATTTAGTCTAACACGCAAATACATTGTTCGTAAAAATATCAATATTTAAAAAACACAAATATTACAACTTTTATTTAAAATATTAAATATACATAGAATATAAATATAAATATATTATATATCAATGTAATTTTACAAATTGTTTTAAATTATTTTGATATGAATGTAATTACATATTTACTTTAACCTGCAAATACTATGTTTGTGAGAATATTAATATTTAAGAATTACAAATAATTATAAACTTATAGAAGATATATACTTATCTAAATTATATTTAAGCAACTAAATATTTATAACTCTTAATTTAGTGATCCAATATTTATTTTTATATTATAAAACAAAAATTATCAAATTATAGTACGATTTTAATAAGATAATATTTCAATTTTTTGTATCAAGTTATTTTATTAGTTAACATAAAATATTATAATAAGCATTTTAATATTATAGTTTTAAACACAAACTATTTTTAATATATCGATTATTTAATATAACATATCAAGTTTATATATTCATATTATTTGATTGATTTATATTTTCAATAAAATTATATTAAATAAGAAAATACTTATAAATATTAATGTCTATTAAAGCAAGCTTCTTGCTTTCACAAAAAACCATATTTATCATTTTTATTATAATTTTGGAATCACATACTCCTCTTTATTTCTAATATCTGACTTTTAAGACATACATATATTTATCATCATTTGAGTAATTTATAGTTCTTTAAAAAAAATTATAACACATGGACAAAAAAACTATATATTTTTATTCGATAAATGATGTGATAATTGTTTTTAAAAAAAAACAAAATTGAATAAAAGTAGGAGAAAATATATCGTAAAGAAATAATTAATATGACGCTATTTTTGATTAATAAATATAAAGAAAAGTATGTCTTCATAATTAAATGCTAAATTATGTATTCAAAATTGATATAAACTATGGTATAACCAATTAATATGAATGGCATATATTGTAACTATTCTAGTAACAAAAGTTTTTTAAAAAACAGATTTCTGAGAAGCTCTAGTGATGACACATCTGTAAAATAGAACACAGTAGTTACTTACAAAAATAAAGTTATTCTCTAAAAAATTCTCAAAGTAATATATAGGAGATTTCTTTTATACATATAAATATATATATATATATATATATATTTCTTTGTAATCTGAAATAAATGTTGTGTAGAAAATAATAATTTTCAAAATTAGATATACGTATGTAACTTCATTGCTAAGATCTTAAAACTCTATTTTGTAATGTTAATAACGTTACAGAATGGAGTTTTAGGATCTCAGCAACAAAGTTACCCACATATATCTAATTTTTAAGAATCATAATCTTTTCCTCAACATAGAAAATAAGTTCTTGTAACACAAATGAAAAATAATAAAAGATTAAGATAACAAAAATTAGTTTAATATTGCATAGATTTATAGTGTAAAAAAATAATTTAATCTAAAAAAAGAATTTTAAAATATATACCCATCATATGAACTTGACTTAGTATAGATTAAGTAAAAAATCAAACAGAGATATGATACATGAACCTGATCTCTTAAAATATTCTAGTTTTAATTTTTCTTATTTGACTTCGGAAACTACAGCATTTTAAGAGATTATGTTCATGTATTATATTTCTGTTTGATCTTTTACTTAATCTATACTTAGTCAAGTTCAAGTGATAAATGCTATATTTCAAAATTCTTCTTTTATATTAGATTTATTTATATACTTTAAAATTTTAAAATAGAATGTTTATTTTTTTCAAACCCATTGTCATGAGTTTCTTTGCATTAATAAAGTTTTAGGGTTGATTGAATTTTTGTTTTTATAATTGTGTTATTGATTAATTTAATTACATGTATTAGGTAAATATGTAAACAACTAGGTAATAATATTAAAATTCTACAAAAAAGTTTACTAAACATGATTAAAAAATATAATTTAATTAATTATATATGTATATAATATATGTAAGTAACAATAAAATATTTGTGTTCATCACTGTTAACAACACAAGTCTATTAAGTACCTAATTCTACATCTGCTATAGTTTGTTTTCTTCACATTGGATAAGCTAGTTCAGAAATTTGTCAAGCATGTAAGCTTCTTGTCTTGACTCTGCTTCTCTTCTCTCTTCTTTTTTGGGTACTGTACTGATCACTGAAATGGTTTGGATATGCTTTAGCATCATGCGGTTGCAGATGATGAGACAGATACCAAGCTACTGCACCTATATGCATATGAGAACTACAGAAAACTGGGAAGGCTCTTCGATATTGTATTTAATGAGAATGCTCTAGCACTTCCTCATGATCAGAACATATCCTGGATTGTATATGTAATACTTATCTCTTGATACTTATGGACACATGTGTGTCTATGGTCTCACATACTAATCTCTGCTTGCAAATTTTCAATGCAGGCATCTACTCAAAAAAATCTATCATCATAAGATACATATATTGTTACTTTAATGTGAATACGATTATTGAGAGTTTGAATTGTTATTAGGTCAAGTACAAACCAAATATAGCAGAATACTGTATAGAAGGAAGCAGAAAAAACCAAAATATAGTCCAAATGATATTGCCGATGCCAAAACAGAATCCAAATGAAATCTCGAGAAAGAGAAGAATATCGGGTTTTCACATGAGTCTTAACCAAAGACTTGTTGCTGTAGAGGACATACCTTATGTGGTAAGAGTCTTTATTTAATTAGTAAATCTCTAATCCCCCCCCCCCCCCCTCCCCCTCGCCCCCCCCCTCCCCCCCCCCCCCCCCCCCCCGCTGCTTTTACAATCTCCCTCCATCGCTGCCAATCAACAGTGGCTGCCACTGGACAAACCCCTCCTACCAACATCATTGAAACCATATCTGCAAACATTACCACATTGTTTAACCTAAGAACCTCCAATGTCACATTCACCAACTAACAAATATGGAGTCTTCAGATCCACTATTTGCTTGATGCCTACGACTTAGCTTGTCACCTAGATAGATCTATTGTTGTCCCTCTCCCTACCATCACCGTCAATTATACGTTTACAGTTAATTCTGAGTATGCGCTATGGAAGCGACATGATAAACTCATATACAACACTCTGTTGGTGCCATAACATCCTCTATTCAACCTGTTGTCTCTCGTGCATCCACCTCTGCCGAGATCTGATACACTCTTTGCTCCACCTACCATAAACCTAGTTGGGGTCACATTAAACAGTTGAAGATTCAGCTTAAGCAGTGCTGCTGCAGCGGACCAAAGGTAGTCCTTCTATTGATGAATATTTACAATGTTTTGCCACTCATATAGATTAACTCGCAATCTTAGGGAAGCCCATTGATCATAAAAACCAAGTTATGCTCATGAAGAGTACTAGTTATTGTTGATCAAGTATAAGGCAGATACATTCCACTATCTCTCACTGAGTTACATGAACGCCTCATTAATCATGAGGCTAAACTCCTTCTCATCGTGTCTACCTCTCTGATTCCAGCTATAACTGATGTTGCTTACAATTGCAAGAAAACGGCTCCAACAACATCAACTATCATCATAATCAACAAGTTGAACTCGTTTTTAATGGTCAGTCGGTGGTTGATCAGGTAGAAGGAAGAGACACACCACAATCTCTCACTGAGTTACATTAAAGCCTCGTCAATCATAAGGCCAAACTTCTTCTCATGGTGCCTGCCTCTTTGATTCCAGCTACAGCTAATGTTGCTTACAATCATAACAACGGCTCCAACAACTCCAACTACCATCATAATCAACAACACCACAATAATCGTAACAACATCAAGTGGCAATCTAACTAGAACCATCACTAAATTTGCCAACATGTCTGTATCTTGGCAAGTGTCAGATCTGCAGTGTACACAGAATAATGTTTGTTGATGTCCACATGTGCAATTCTTCACACAATCAACAGTCCCTATCACTCCCAGCCATGCTAGCCTGTTTGCTCCAAGGCATCCAAGAGCTAATGTTGCCATTGCTTATCCTTCCAACGTGAAGATCTGGCTCTTGACAATGGGTTTAGACATAATATCACCAGTGACCTTGCTAATCTCTCACTCCATCAACCGTACAATGGTGGAGATGACATTCTCATCGATGATATTCTATCTGATGATAGCTCACCACTAAGCATTTCACATATGGGTTCAACATTCTTACCCTCGCCAAATAAAAACCTTGCCCTTAATATGTATTCCTGGTATTCACAAGAACCTGATTTTTGTATACCAACTTTGTAACACTAATCAAGTCTCTGTTGAGTTCTTCTCTATTTACTTTCAGATGAAAAACTTCAGCATGAGGGCTCTTCTTCTTCAGGGCAGAACCAAGGATGAACTTTATGAATTGTCAATCCATGAGTCATAATCAAGCCTCAAAACAAGCTTCAAATTGTGGCACTTGCAACTTGGTTATCCTTCACCACCACTTTACAATCAATAATCTCTCTTTTCTTATTACCTGTTGCTCATTCATCTCTAAAACAATTGTTTTGTCCTGATTGCCATATCAATAAAAGTGACAAAGTCTCTTTCCACAAAACCACAATCACCTCCACACGCCCACTCCAAAACATCTTTACAGATGTTTGGACTTCACCTATTACTTCAAACAAAAATTACAAATATTACCTGATCTTTGTAGACTATTTCTCCTGTTATACATGGCTATACCTGCTCATTCACAAGTCACAAGTCAAAGCTGTCTTCATGGCATTTAAACCAATGATTGAAAGCCATTTCTAGACTAAGATTACCATGCTCTACTCTGACAATGGGGGTGACTACATAGCTCTCCATAGCTACCTTGCAGAACATGGGATCGCTCATCTCATAACACCTCAATACACACCTGGGCACAATGGCATCTCTGAACACTAGCACATACACATAGTAGAGACCGACATTTCGTTGCTCTCTACTGCAACTATAACAAAGAAGGATTGGCCATATGCGTTTGCTGCATCTGTATATCTGATAAATCTGTATTATCTAATCAATTTCTATATCATAAGTTATTTGGTACTTAGCCCAAATATATATAGCTCAGTGTCTTAAGTTGTCTCTGCTTCTCATGGATCCGCCCCTACACCACGCATAAGATGAAAGAGAGATCCAAACTTTGCATCTTACTTGTCCACACACTCACGCATAGTGTATATATGTGTCTAGATGTCTGTACGGGAAGAACCTATACATCGCACCATGTCCAATTCGACAAAAAAGCTTTCTCGTTTTGCCTATTACAATCATTGATTTGTGTGGAATCAGTGCAACAACAAGGGTCTCCCTCATGATTGCAGCATCTTCTCTGCTACAATCGCTAAATGCTCAGGTATTACCACTCTCAAACTCTAACATTTTCACTCACTCATCTCTCCTAGCCAAGCCCAAATCCTAAATAACACATTTAACCCTAACCAACCGTCATCCTCCACTGAAAAGCCCACTTGTCAATCCCATATATCAAATAACTCAACAGAAATTACACAGCCTACCAACATCACCTAAAAGCCATCTAGCCCAAATAAAACAAACCCAACAACAACTTCACCTTCAACCACATCATTTAGCCCAAAATTATAATCACTTATACCATTTATTATTAGCTTAGATCATCATAATCTAATTAGTAATATATTATTAATTTATTTATAACGATTAACAATAAATATAGTAAATACTACTAATTAATAATTAAGTAATTACAAAAGTTATTTAAACTAAGATAAATTTTTTTTATCGAAACATTTATATATTATTTATTTTGAACTGTTATTATGAGAGTAAACAATTTTAGTAATCCAATGAGGCAAAAAATTACATCCTAAAATAAATGATTCATTTATCAGACATTGTTTAGCTAAACGATGACCAGCTTAATTACATTCTCTCTTGATATAAGATACATTACATTGAAAAAAATTATCTAACCAGGCTTAAACATCTTATAATAAGTTAGAGAGCATAATGTCATGATCATTGTTTTGTAGCAGGCTTACTAAAGTTTAGCAATATCCTTCAAAACTAATGTTCGTAAGACCCATGCTCTAAACATTTTGAAGTGTCATTAATAAAGCTTCGCCTTCGGATTCAAGCAGAAATGCTGTTGTTCACTGATATATCATGGCTCTATGGTTTTTAACCATGATATAAGTCTTATTTATAGTCTTTTGGTCTTTTTAGAGTCTCATTAGAGTCTTTACATATTAATAGGTGTTTGGAACATAATTGGATATTCTGGAGCATTCTGGAGCAAGGCAGGAGTTATTCCCGACTAGAGCAACAAGGAGACGTGTGATGCCTTTGGTGACGATCGTCACCAACCAAGGGTGAAGCTCGTCACCAACCTCTGGAGGAAGCATCGCGACTAATTAAAAGATAGAAGAAGAATTGCATTTTTGGCCCAGAAATTTTATTAATTACAAAAAGGCCCCAATTTGTTTTTAGCTTGTATATTAGATTTTCAGCCACCTTTTGGTCTGTATCTTATTTTCTAGAGAGACAAAGAGAGAGATTTATATCAGAGCTTTTGGAGAGACAAAACAGACTCTTTCATAGCAGATTTTGAACTTCTTAATCTTTATTTCTTATTTCTTTTATGCAATATATTCTATTCATGATGTTTGTTTCATTCACCATGTCTGAGTAGTTTGTTAGTTAGGTTTTGGGTTTTCAAAGGTTATGAATTGTTAGAATTGAATTACTGTTGGGATTCATTTGTTAGTTCTTCATCTAGATTTGTGTTTAGCTTCGCGACCTAGAATCTGATATTAGGTTGATAAATAGATGCGAGAGTATTGCTAATTGTCTGAACTAATCTTAGATGAGAAAAATTACTATCTGAAAAGAGGTTTGATTTAGGAATTTTTTGAACAGATCGAACCTGAACTTATTGCTTGTCTAAATTGTTTGAATTTGCAAAGAGATTTGGAATTCTAGGATTTATACATAGAAAATCTCTGCAGCGAGAGTTGATTAATTTTATATTTGTGTTTCGAGTTCTAGAATGGTGATAAATAATTATTCCGATAGCTTTCATTCTACAATTTCAACCTGCAAATTTTCCAAAGCCTAGCGTTTTGTCTCATTGAATTTAAAACCTTCAAATCGATCATCTGCTGCTTTTTTTAGTTTATTTGCATTACATTTATTCAGTTCTCTTAGCTTAATTTGAATCTACAATCTGTTGTGTGACTTCCTTAAGTCTCTTGGGATTTTGATACCCTTTATACTACATCTGCTTTACTGTGCACTTGCAGTAGTTTATTTAGGTGAAACTTCGAGCCTATCAAGTTTTTGGTGCTGTTGTCGGGG